GTCCCTACTACAAGCGGTCCTCAATTTATAACCAAACACTAAACAATCCTTCAAAATTATAATGGACTTCAGAAAAGCTACTTATAGCCTGTCCCCACGCACACCTTCCTGCTCATCAACATCTCTTTGGCTAAAGTAGAGCTTATTAAAGTGTACTTCAATTTTTTTCTTCCAGCACTTAGTATATAAAAGAGACAGGTAGCTCTTGACTTACGACCACAATGGATCCTGAAATTTTGGTCGTAAATTGTTGTGCTTGTAAGTTGAATAAAGGCTGCTCTATCACCCACCCCGTATCAGTATCACCCCTCCAGACTAGAAAATCCCTGAATCTTTGGTTAAAGTTTACCATTTTTCTTGCTGGCTGAGGAATTATGGGAACTGAAGTCCACCTTAAACCTGCCAAAGCTGAGAAACACTACCCAGTGTAATTCCTTTCCTAATCTATCCCGGCTGTTTTCCAATGGGTGGGATTCTTTCATTTTCTCCTCAAAAAGTCTTTCTTCTCTCAATGACAAAATTTGAGAATGTACATTAGTCCTGAACACTGATTATATCTCCTATTTCAAAGATCCGAGGAGGAAAAAAAAAACCCTGTGGTACTCAATAAAACCTTTTAAAACAGGACACCTGGAAGAGAACTTTTCAAGATACATCTGAATTTCCTTGCCTGGTTCAGAGAACACGATCCCCCTCCATGAAAATGCAATTTAGAACTGGCTTGCTACCAGTCCCAAGATGTTGAATCTGCATATTAGCATTTATTTTCGATGTATAGTTTAACTGAATGATACGAAAATCAGAATAAAAAACCTTGCCTCAGAGAATGAGCAAAGGTTATTTCCTCATCACTGAATTGTTACTTCTCTACAGTGGTGGGATTCAGCCAGTTCGCACCAGTTCGGCAAAACCGGTAGCTAACTTTTTGTTGTCCAGGCCCAGAATGGACTTCCGGAAGTGGCATCCACACAGAAAACTGGTTGTTCACATATTTGAATCCCACCACTGCTTCTCTCACATTATATACCCAAACACTGAGTCCAAAATGAAGAGATCCGTGTTTGAAAACTGTGTTTTCTGGAAGACACAAACGCCAAAGGTCCGCCGTGACACCTCAGACGTATATTTATATACATACCCATCACACTATTCCCTTTAGGAGTAAACAATTGTATGCCTGGGGCCCCAAAGGAGTAAGAAATAATAAGCCAAAGAAATTAAAGATGAAATAATTAAAAAGAAAAAGACACAGGGCTAGATCCAGTTCACTCCAACACCATTCCTATATACCTCTTCCTTCTGTTACAATACTTGGTTGATTCTACTACAGGCTTTATACTTTTTGTTTAAAATACTTCTCTCTTCTTCTCTTTGTGAGGATCTAACCACGATATCCAGAGGCTGTCCCTTCCTTTGGTCCCTTTGCTTTTCCTTCATTATTTCAATTCTCCTCCATTCTTTCTATAACAACTCAAGCATAATTTATAACAGTACTCTCTATATCCAATCCACATTCACTGAATTGTACACCCGCCTAGAGAGTCACTCTAGGAGCGAGAAGGATGATTTCTAAATTTAATACATAAATAAAATAAATTCAGCACCCATTAATTCTGGGTCTCTCTCCTGTTGCTTTATTATGCGTACTTCCTAAGTATTCCAGTGCCACTGCATTCAATTTCATTTTGATTTCTCCCATCGTGCCCAGTTCTTATTTCCATTAAAAAAAAAAAGACGATGACGCTCCCTTTTCTATACAGCCATTCTGGCTTCTTTCAATATATGTTCCTTGCCGTGGACCATATAGTTCCCATTACCATTCTAGCAGTATTATTATCACATCTGAATTTATTTTCATTTATTTTCCCCATCTGTAACAAAAAAAAATTGTAAGATACCTGCAATCCTCAATTTACAACCATTCATTTAGCGACTGTTCAAAGTTACAATGGCTCTGAAAAAAGTGACTTACAACCAGTCCTTGCACTTATTACTGTCAGAGCATTCCCCACGGTCATGTGATCAAAATTTGCTTGGCAACTGGCTTGTATTTATGACAGTTGCAGTATCCCACGGTCGTGTGATTGCTATTTGCAACCTTCTCAGACGGCTTCTGATATTTCTGGGGAAAGCTAGAGTCACTTCATGACCATGTGATTTGCTTAACAACTGCAGTGATTCGCTTAACAACTATGGCAAAAAAGGTCGTAAAATCAGGCACTGCACACTTTGCTTAGCAATGGAATATATGATCCTGATTGTGCGCGTAAGTCAAGGACTAATTACATTAATTCATTTATTGAATCTTATTTTTCATCACTTCTAAATAATTGCAAATGTTGGTTGAATTTTCCCTAACAAACACAACTGTTTTGATATATTAATTTTTAGACACATATATCTTGTTGCTTCAAACTGAATATTTTTAAACTCTAACTTTTGTTACAAATTCTTTAAAATATTATATTCTAGGCATGCTTAGGCCAATCACCCTTTCTTTCAGCCCAATCCAAGAATTGCTTTTATGGGAAAATTAGGAGCAAGGAGTATTAGGTATGTTTCTTGCCCTGAGTTAATTTATATAAATAATAAAGATGGGATTAAAACAAATCTTTAAAATGTATATAAAAATCGGTGCCCCCGTTTTCAAATTCAGAATTAAAACCTCATGTTTCTCTAGGACGTTGCAAAAAATTTCCCCAATCTTAAAATGGCTGCAATCAATACCATGAAATAAAATTTTCTACTTTGTACCACTTTATTCCAGAACACATGCATTTTGCTATTGGCCTAAAAATATTTGAGGAGTTCTCAATTTTAAAATTTTATGGTGCCAAATTAAATATAATGTAATTATAATTTTTAATGTAATTATATTATTTAATAAATAATAATGTAATTATTATTTACATGAAACGTCCATTTAATTTTGGTCACTGCAAAAGGGTTTGTAGAAATAGAATATTTTAAAAAGCTAAATGGTGGGAGACTCGGGACTTTTCCATGCAGTGCACAGCTAAAACTGTGGAACTCACCAACACAAGATGTAGCAAGAGCCACCAACTCAGAACAGCAATAAAAGGAAATTAGAGAAAAATCATGGCTACAAGTTGTTATGGTTAAAAATTACGTCAAAGTGGAGGCCAAGAATACTTCTGCTCCCAACTCCTAATTAAGGAATTATGGCTTCTCAAGGATCTGGCTGTGCCAGAATGCAGGACTTACTTTCTTTCTTTCTTTCTTTCTTTCTTTCTTTCTTTCTTTCTTTCTTTCTTTCTTTCTTTCTTTTTCTTTCTTTCTTTCTTTCTCTCTCTCTCTCTCTCTCTCTCTCTCTCTCTCTCTCCTTCCCACCTTTTTTCTTTCTCATATTTCTGAACTGCCCTTCTCCCTCAAAGATGGACTCTGGGTAGTGTAAAATAAAACATCAAAATATAACACGGTACATAAAAATTAGAATTAGAGATACAATTTCAGAATTATTTTTTTATAATTATAATATTTGAAGGAGGCAAGAATAATTAAACCCTGTTAAAAATTAATTGATACAGAGGCACAGGGAGGACTCTCATGGCACCAACCAGCCCCATAATTGTGTGCTCCTTTGGGCTCCCCATGCCAGGCCCCAGAACCAGGAGAGTGGGGGCCTGCCTCACCTCTGGGGAGGAGAATATTCCGGGGGGGGGGAGACAACAGCACACAAGGCTCTCTATAGACAGGTCAGTACTTTTCAAACCTAGATAATTTACCCAAAATCTGGGAAAAAGTATTTTTTCTTTGGGTAATGAACCCATTAGGCATCACAGCAAGGACATTTACACTGACTTTAAAATTGCTACGTGTACTAAATAGATATTTGAAAATCTTCAAAGGCATTCCTATGAAATGAAAATTGATGGAACTGTCAAACGTAATTTGTTAAAATGACATAAAGATCATTAAATGATATTATTTTCATAATGCAGGTGGTTCTCGTGTTACACTCATTCCTTCGCTGACCGTTCAAAATTACAACCGTGCTGAAGAAAGGGACTTACAAAGTTCGTTAAGACTTTCTAATAAGCGGTTTTGTGTAATGAAGGAAAAAATTGCGTAAGTATTGGTATAGGTTTATTTGTTTATTTGCTTATTTATTAAATATATGCACCTCCTCCACATTGAGGAAATACTGTCACGTTATTAGGGACACTGGGAAAGATTCTGGTCTAAAACTAAATTGTAGAGGCAACCATGCAACTTTTAACTGCGTTTAGCAAAACGCCGGCCTTTTATATTTCTGCTTTTGTTGTATTGTAAGCCACACAGAGTCATTTTGAACAGTGAGGTGGGCAGCATATACATTATATAAATAAATAAACATCAAAGTTCTCTTCCACCATTCCCAATTCTTTTTTTCCTCTCCTCATATTCCTTTCCTACTGGACCAATACATTTACCAAGCACCAATTATCTTTTTTTTTTTTTTTGGTAAATCCTGTAGCAGCGCCTTGTGGTCAGAAGCCAGCCTTTTGCTAGTGAATAAAAATAAACTTTCCGGCACCATTTTAAAGATCCACTCCTCAAGATTTGCAAGGTCCTGTCCAACAATAACTTCCCTGTTTGCATCAGATGCTAAACTAGATTGTATTTGTAAAGACGCCGCTGAAACATTCTATAATATTTGACGGGCGTTTTATGGGAACGGTTTTTCATATTTTTATTTTTTGACAGCATTCTCTAAAGCTTACACTGTTGTCCTTCTTTTCTCTGCTGTGCTGATATTTTTCCCTTACGCTGGTCAAAGACCGTTATCCAATTTTTGGATCCCTTCCTTTTTTCCAATGTGATGAACTTGTCGCTGACCAAAAACAGAGCAATCGACTTCTTTTTTTCACCTCCGCCGCTATTTACGAAAATTTGGGCGGGGGGCAAGCAACGATAGAGAGGGGAACCTCAAGCTTTCAAACCCCTTCCCCCCCCCTCCAAAGCAAGTTCTTTACAGATTAGCGTCCCGGATGGTTTACCTTTTACACACCTGCGCTCAGGTGAGTTGCTGCTCGTGTTTCAGCACGAAACTCCCACCTTCAGCAGCAAACGCTCTGGCCAAACCCCGTCGCCAGTGCCGGATAAACGTCTCTTTTTGCAAACAGCATTGCGTTAATTGCAAAATACTAAGTGAAACGAAACAAAAGTATATTATATTTTGCAAAGCTCCCGCCTGGGCAATTGAGCGGCGGACTCGCGTGAAACACTTCGGCCCAGACTGGAAAGGATACTCTTTTGCATAGCGGCACCTCCTGCTTATTTCCCATTGGCTCTGCCGTGCTGGGTAATTTGCATTGGGGAAATTAAATTATAACATTTACGGGCCGCCCCCAACCGGATGGCTTCTAGCCCCGCCCACAAAATGGTGTGTGTGTGTGTGTGTGTGTGTGTGTGTGTGTGTGTGTGTGTGTGTGTGTGTGTGTGTGTGTGTGTGTGTGTGTGTGTGTGTGTGTGTGTGTGTGTGTGTGTGTGTGTGTGTGTGTGTGTGTTAGTGTTATAAAGAAAAGGCAAAGCCGGTTGTAGTCGGTTTGAAGCCTGGAGTTTCGTTCACACGTGCGCGTTTCGGAGATGAGGTGTTTCCAAAAGCTCTTCTATTAAAAACAGCTCAAGAACAGTACAATCTAAAGGTTAATATTTTATCTTGCATCGAATGTTGCTGTAAGAAGAAAATTGTGGTTAAAATTGCTACTCTATTAGAGTATCATAATCCCTTGTGTGTTATGGTGCTTATTTCATTAGATGCATGCAGCTTTATCAAATCCGTAGCAATTGAATTCTAGCATTAGCCAATGGTCGAATTAGGTGTCATGAGTGGTTGTATACATTTTATCTGTGCAACAGCCCTGTGAGGTTGGTTTGGCTAATAAGGCTCACTGAATTAACCCAGTTGTGAGTTTGTGCATGCAAGGAGCTATAAACTGTCAAATCCCACTTCTAGCAGGTTGTGGGAAATGGGCCACCTTGAACTATCTGAACCCAGTCTTCTCTAGTGGTCTTCTGAATCTCTGTCTCAGAGATAATCGGTGGCTGTTTAGAGCCAACAACTCCGCACCAACTTATTCCAACTTATTTTTTTCCAACTTATTCCAAGACATTTTTTTCAAAGACTTTATTGGGATTTCCATTAGACTAGAGTATAGGTATTTATTTGTTAGATTTATATATCGCATTCAGGAGCTCAAAGTGGCAAACTGATTCCTTCACCTATTTATGTATTTATTTTTGTAATTAAGTCAAGGCAGCAAAAATATCTAATAACCCTTCCTCTTCCTATTTTCCCCACAAAGCTGTGAGGTGGGTTGGGCTGAGACAGAGTGACTGACCTAAAGTCACCCCACCACTTTTATGTCTAAGGTAGCACTAGAACTCACAGTCTCCTGGTAATTGGCCCAAAATCACCCAGTGGGCTTTTTTGCCCAAGGCAGAATTAGAACTCACAGTCTTCTGGTTTCTAGCCTAGTGTCTTAATTATCACACTAAACTGGCTCTATTTTTCCTTATAATAACCCTGTTAAGTGAGGCAGACTAATAGTGGTTGGCCCAAAGCTATGTTGGGGCCTTTATGAGACAACAGTGACACAGTAGTTTACATTTGCACAACATGCTTAGTTTTAAGTTATTTTTTGTGATTGATTATATGGTCTGAATCAGAACCACTAGAGTAATTCTGCTTTAGCACACAATACAAATGCAGGAAATAAATTAATTCACTAATCTGTATGTTGCCCTGATGACATCCTGTATACATAGGGGGAATGGAAGTGTTAACAAGAGAAAGAGAATAGAATCGAGCTGGAAGGGACCTTGGAGGTCTTCTAGTCCAACCCCCTGCTCAAATAGGAGAACCTATACCATCTCAGACAGGTGAATGTCCAGTCTCTTCTTAAAAGTCTCCAGTGATAGAGCGCCCACGATTTCCACTGGCTGATTGTCCTCACTGTCAGGAAGTTTCTCCTTAATTCCAGGTTGCTTCTCTCCTTGACCAGTTTCCAACCATTGTTTCTTGTCCTTCCCTCTGGTGCTTTGGTGAACAACCTGGCCCCCTCTGCCTTGTGGCAGCCCCTCAGATACTGGAACAAGACTGAAAAATGCTAAATATACTTAGATCTTAGTGGGGGGGGGGGTTAAAAAAAACTTTTAAAATCACAGCCTTGAAAATACAGGTAATCCTCATTTTTACAACCATTGGTTTACCGACTCTCAAGTTATGATGGCACTGAAAAAACTGACTTACGACTAGTTCTCGGGCTCACCATTGAGCTGTGGTGGCGCAGTGGTTAGAACGCAGTATTGCATTCAGGAGTTCGATCCTCAGTGGCTCAAGGTTGACTCAGCCTTCCATCCTTCCGAAGTCGGTAAAATGAGGACCCAGATTGTTGGGGGAAATAGGTTGACCCTGTAAACTGCTTAGAGGGGGCTGTGAAGCACAAGCGGTATATAAGTTTAATATTATTATTAATAATAATAATAATAATAATAATAATAATAATGATGATGATGATGTTGGAAGGGACCTTGGAGGTCATCTAGTCCAACCCCACAAATGGCTGTCCAATCTCTTCTTAAAAATTTCCAGTGTTGGAGCATTCGCCGCTTCTAGAGGCAGGTTGTTCCATTGGTTGTTCTAACTGCCAGGAAGTTTCTCCTTAGTTGCAGGTTGCTTCTCTCTTTGGTTAGTTTCCATCCGTTGCTTCTTGTCCTGCCTTCAGGTGCTTTGGAGAATAGGTTGACTCCCTCTTCTTTGGGGCAGCCCCTGAGATATTGGAACATTGCTGTCATGTCCCCCCTCGTCCTTCTCTTCATTAAACTAGACATACCCAATTCCAGCAGTCGTTCCTTATATGTTTTAGCCTCCAGACTTCTAATCATCTTTGTTGCTCTTCTCTGTACTCTTTCTAGAGTCTCAACATCTTTTTTACATCGTGGTGACCAAAACTGGATGCAGTATTCCAAGTGTGGCCTTACCAAGGCATTGTAAAGTGATATTAATACTTCACGTGATCTTGATTCTATCCCACTGTTAATGCAGCCTAGCACTGGGTTGGCTTTTTTGGCAGAACACAGTGCTGGCTCATATCTAAGTGATTGTCCACTTAGTACTATTGCTACAACTACTACCTCATCCCTGCAGTCACAAAATGTGGGCCCCTGGTAACCAGCATGGATTTATGATGATTTCAGAGTCTCAGGGCCACATAATGCCATCTGCAATCTTCCTAGCAAACTTCCAACAAGCAAAGTCAATGGGAGAAGCCAGATTCACTTAATGACTATGTTCTGCATTTAACAATCACAGTGATTTGCTTAATGAAAATGGCAAAAAAGGTTGTAAAATCGGGCTCAATTTACTTAATGACTGATTTGCTTAGCAAGAGAAGTTCCAGTCCCGACTGCGGTCATAAGTCAAGGATTACCTGTAATAATAATAATTTAAAAGAACACGAACATGTATCGATATCATAAAATGTTGGGTATTTGTACGGGATGGGAACAGTATCCTTGAAACGGGCATTTTTTGATGACTGGCATGCTGAAAAAAGAAAATCCAATTCTAATTAACATCACCAATTTTAAAAAAGTATGTTCAGAGCACAAATTTCTTGAGTTCAGCAATCTCATTGTGGTGTTTTTCCCTCCAATTGTGCTATATTTTATCCCATTTTTAATGTGAACTTGCTAAAGTCTTTTACATTATTTTAAACACTCTTGGGTGGTTTAATTTGCCATCAGTTGTTTCAGTTATTTATCTCTTAATTCTTTATTTGCTGTAAACTACATTGAAAATAACTGATTAAAGCAGGGTATAAATTCAAGGATTGCACCATCTATATAGCCCTTTAAACAGCCATAAAGACAAAGTAAAGTTCAGCATACAGACTGGAATTTACAGTCTAGGTAGGACATACATACAACTACAAGTATGTATTTAAACATCTTGAGGTAAAATCAGTAGAAGTAAAAATGCTTGATTATAGACGGCGTTTTAGAAATGCTGAGTTTTCTTTTGGTGTAGTGTTCTATTATTAATGACCCCCTCTGATTAAAAAACAATACCACCCTAATCCACTATTTCGAAAACCTGGCAACTTTAAGACATGTGGGCTCCTGGGAGTTGACTATTAGGGGTTGAAATCTATATGTCTTAAAGTTTGAGAAACACTACCCTAATTCTTGACCCTGCCTTGTCAAGTTTGAGAAACACTGCCCTAATCCAACAATACCAGCTGCTCCATTTGCAATACAGATAGTCCTTGACTTACAACTATAATGGAGCCCAGAAATTTGGCCGTAAGTCATGACAGTCGTAAATTGGGGCACCATCTGTGACCAGACTTGATTTTATGACTTTTTTTGTGATGGTCAATCAATCAGCAAATATGGCAATCCTTAAGTAAATCTATGTATCCCTATCAATGTTTTTGCTGGCAATCAGCCAAAAGGCCTGAAATTGGCCTAGATGTATAAATTTCAGTCATGTGATCAGACAACACTGCAACCAGCTGTAAGCACTCAAAATGAAGTCATGTGATCATGGGGTATGTACAATTGTCCGGAATCAGGTCATACGTAGCTTTCGAAAGGTCCATCATAATTTCGAAGTCGCTGAACGGTCAGTGTTTAAACAAGAACTACAAGTCATACTCAATTTACAACCACAATTGAGCCCAACATTTCCATGAGAAGCAAGTTAAGTGAGTTTTGCCACATGTTATGACCTTTCTTGCCCCAGTTTTAAGTGAATCATTGCAGTTGTAAAGTTAGTAATCTGGTTGTTCAGTGAATCTGGCTTCCCCATTGACTTTGCTTGTCAGAAGGTCGCAAAAGGTGATCACGTGATCCTGGGTCACTGTCAGCAATATGAGTCAGTTGCCAAGCGTCCCGATTTTGATTATATGACCACGGGGATGTTGCAATGGTTGTAAGTGTGAAAGACAGTCATATTTCATTTTTAGTGGCATTATAACTGCAAATGGTCACTAAATGAATGGCTGTAAGTCAAGGACTACCTGTCAACGCTGCCTTTACTTGTGATTTCAACAGTTTGTTCCATTTAAATTAATATTTTTTATAATCAGCACATTTCTCCTCAGTGGTGCAATGCTTATCCATTAAAAATAAAAGTATTTTATTTCTTTCCCATAAAACTAGGAAAACAAGATAAAGGAGACACAGGTTTCTGTTCAGCTTCTATTGGAAGAGGATCCATTTAGCTATAGTAGCTAAT